ACGAGGCCGAGAAGAGAGAATCGAGGTGTACAACGAGAATTCGCGGTTCGTTGACGATCTCTCTGCCAAGGCGCAAGGTCGCGTGGGCGACTTCGGAGGCGATAAATAGAAGCGGCGCGAGCGCGAGCGCCTCGAGTTCACCACCACGTCACGTCACGTCACGTCACACCTCACGTCACATCGCGTCTCGTCTGGTCTCGTCTCGCTTCCTCGCCTCTTGGCGTGCACGACCGGTCCGTCGACGACGCTAAAAATCGTCCGGGACGACAAGCAAATATGTGAGCGGTAACGTCCGTAATCGAGTTGCTATGCATCAGTGAGATCGGTTGAGAGAGAAAGAGAGAAGGGGAGAGAGAAAGAGAAGCAGTTTCGTGTCGCGTCGTTCCCGGCGGGTACTCTCCATTCTTCTTTTGATCTTCAACCGGGAGGCGCCCCGACGAGGAGGATATTCACGAGGAGCCGGACGCGAGGATGTCATTCGAGGGAAAATACAACGCGAAGAGTCCAGGTGAGTCGTGCCTCGACGCGCTAATTGCGCCGGTCAAAACACATTGTTTTGACATACCATCCGCGCGACTGACATATTTCCACGAGGCTGTTGTACTCGTGGAGAGCATCTCGTGGGATTATCAGTTAACCTTCGATATCCGGCCGTGCCTCCTTTCCGATGATCGTACGCTGACGCATTGATTATTCCATAATGATGTATGATATAAGCTTATGTATATGTATCTAACATATTAATATCCTCTCGAAACCTGCTTATCTGTCATCTGTATAAACAGTTTTTTTTATGCGAGTTACAAAAATCGTTATCTCATTAAGTGTATGTATTTTAGCGGTAAAGAGGTTAATGAGAGAGGCGCAAGAGCTACACGAGGCTACTGAAGAATATTATGCGTCCCCTCTAGAGGATAACTTGTTTGAATGGCATTTCACAGTACAGGGACCGCCGTCTACCGACTTCGAGGGTGGTGTTTATCATGGAAGGATCTTACTACCACCAGAGTATCCTATGAAACCACCAAACATCATTCTATTGACAGTAAGTGGATATTAGAAGATAAGCCAGTTATATAAATTATGTCCTGATATTGCTATGTTCTTTGTTCCTCTGATTTAGCCTAATGGACGTTTTGAGATAAACAAAAAGATATGCCTGAGTATCTCTGGCCATCATCCTGAAACATGGCAACCGTCATGGAGTATTAGAACGGCACTGCTAGCTCTGATTGCTTTTATGCCTACTCCAGGAAGTGGCACGATTGGAGCGTTAGATTACAGCACCGAAGAACGACAAAAGCTTGCTAAAAAGTACAGATAGATTTTGCAATATTGCAAAGAAATGTCATGTTAATGATCCTTGATTTCAGATCACTAAACTGGCAGTGTGATACATGTGGTAAAGTTGTAAACTTATTATCAAAGAACTCAGTTAAGAAACCTATCACTGAGGAAGAACAGACTATGTTGAAAACGATTGCTCTCAAAGTAAGCGATTATATTATTTGAAATATGCATGTTTCTTATAAAAAGTTGAGCATCTATTTATCTACTATGTAATTCGATATGAATGTATATTTAATTACTATACAATTAAGTATGTATGATCATAGTTATAAAGCAAGAACTTGAAAAACATTTTTAAAAAATTATTATAGGCTGACGACTCACCTTTGTCAGATGTGTTATTTACGGATAATTCAGGAAATATATCTGAAAGTGAGGTACGGCATCGTAACGTGGATGCAATTCCGGCAGAGAATGCTGACCGTCAACAACCCGAGATTATTTTAAATCGCGTAGAAACGATGTCCTCTTCAAACGATTTATTTTGGAGTATTCTTATCGCTTCTTTAGTATCCGCAATTATTCTATTAATCTTACGACGATTATTTCTCGTATAATTTATTCTTTTATGAAATATATAGAAATACGTCACAAAACACTAAATTTTATACACGTTTTACGGTTATCGTTTCTAGGCTTATGTTTATAAGCTTAAGAAAAACTTGTACGTATTGCTATCTGATTTTTTCATGAAAATATGTCTAATACATGACGAAAGTATATATGCATTAGTATGTTAGTACATATCCATATTGTTCTCACAAACAGCATTTGAATTGTGATCTTAATAAATTTGATATTTTAATTTCATATTTGAAATAAAAATTAACATAAAAAAATATTCAACTTCAATTATGAGTTCATGTATACTAGTCGCTTTCTTTCAAAATATATGTCTTTACTTGTTTACATTTATATTCTAAATGTATTAAAAGTGACACTGAAATTGAATTATAAATTTTAATGTGTATGTTATAATAATAAATTTTATTTTGATAAATAATTATTTTTTTCAAATACTTGTGTTTATATATTCTATTCTATTATTATAAATTCCAAAATGTATTTGTTATTATATTATCATCATTTTTATTGATAAATTTGCATTGCATAATAGCCTAATATGATACTATTTTGTAATAAATGTAAGTTATACAAATATGTCTGTGTAACTCTATAGCTTTCGTACACTTTTCATATGTGTATAGCCACTGTAATAAAATTTAATATGTAATATAATATGTTAGAAGAAGAGGATCTAGAGCACAGGATTTTATCTAAATTCATTTTTTGTATGTACATAGAAATATAATAAAGTAATTATTTATTAAAGCATATATAAGCATATATAAACATATTACTTCTTAACATTTATTTTACAGTCCACATGCAGTGCAATATTTTTCAATTTCTCATACGCCTTTATATATTCATTGAACTATATTTCTTTACACTCTTGGTTGATATGACATATTTTTTCAGAGTTTATTTCTAATATTTAAATATTTAAAAAATTCACCTCTTAAATCTATGAGGCATATTTAGATTTTATATATATAGCAATGTAACAGAAATATATCAAAATCAGATAAAACGAAATATAAGTAACACAGCCATAAACTATAGCAAACTTCATAATCTTTTATTATCTATTTTAAGGCATTCTAGATTCATCATACATACACACGCGCGCGCACACACACACATACATCACACACACACATACATCACACACACACACCACACATATTTATAGTAACAATCTCAACACCGTTTCCATTACAATAAAATAATTTCTATCGGAATGCTTTTTTTTTTTGTACATTTGCTATCTTTCTAAATTAATCAGTTGTGTGCTTTTTAAACTGCATATAGCTCAGATTTAAATCTAATATCATTTTATAATAGCTCGAAAATTATATAAAAAATAATATGATGCAATAGAATTTCTTGTATACATATTTGTATTCTTTAAACAATCTTTCATCTTAATATATATATTACTTTGTGTTAAAATAAGTCATTTAAATGCATATACGTATTAAAATTTTAAAATACAGAAATATGGCACATGATTTTACTTTGTAAAAAATAATTTATTGTCGTACGGAAGCTATGTAAAGCAAAAGCGAAATTAAAAGCTTAATATATTTTAAGTTTACTAAAGTTCAACTTTTTATTTAAATATCTAAAATTGAAAAGAAATAGATCTTTTATTTATGTATACAAATAAAGTATTTGTGTATACTAAATATAAAGTAATATAAGTGTATTTGTGTATACAAATATCGTACATGTGCATATGCCGCAGAAGATATTTTTCTGATTTGACAGTTTAATTTCTTTCTTGACATAATTCCTTTCGTGCTAGACTATAATAAGATAATCTACACAATGTAGATATTTCGTCATATTTCCGTATTCGACAACGGAAGTGCCTATCCTAAATTGTACAATACACATTTTTGAGACAATATAAACGCGGTTATATTGTTTCAAAAACAGTAATATCGAAATAATGTAATATCTCTTTGCGTCTCACAAAAGTATAGAACATCTGTTTTAATCCCATCACGAATTTTTATAATATAAAAATACAAATAATATTCCGTTAGTTGAATCGTTTATCAGCTAGTGTTAGAGCTGGTCCATTCACCCGTCTCTTTTAGAGCTCTATCTGTTAATTGCTCTATCTCCGTTAGAAGTCGTTCAGTCTCTATATCAACACATACCATATCTGGTTCTACTGGATCCCATTCCAAACTGTTTGGACTGGAGACTCTGGACCAAGGAGACGCTGTTAAACTAGAAGGTTGACTATTGTTAAGTGACGTCTGTGTCAGAGAACCTTCTGTGTCTCCTTTGTCATCTTCCATGATCAGTAAAGGCATTCCTACGCGAGTATAATTTATCTATATATCATCAAACTTATAAAAATGATGTAATGATAGATTGATTACCTTCGTGTTCCCATTCAAGATCTAGTGATGATCCTGGAGTAGATGAAACATAAGCTTGCTGTTTCATTAACGTTCTTGCATCAAGAACTTGAAGTGATGTATCCAAACCAGAACTGAAAATAATCATATAATCTTTTACTCTTTAACACATGCAACAATCTTAGAAATATTATTATTAAAAAATTAAATAATGTTATAGTTACCTTGTAGAAACATCATTTCTGGAATTCAATCTGGCGTACTTATTACCGCCTCGTGACCATCTTCCATCTTCCAATAATTCCAGAGTCGTTGGAACTCCATGCTTTTTCTATGATTCAAATATACGTATAATTTTATAATATAAATCAAAATACTTTTTATAAATCAAATTGATATTGCATATTTTCTATAATGTTCTTATTTTTGTATACTAAATAGGCATACCTTGAATCTTTTTAAAGAAAGGAATGATAATAGACTATATCCAGTAAGCATGACAGATAAATGCAATGTTAATATCATAAATTCAAATTAACATTAAAAGTAAAGAAAATACCTGATACCTTTTTGAACCTTTAGTTTGGTCTTCATGCCTTCCAACATCCATGAACTAAACATAAGATAGCAGAGTTATTTCTGCTAGCAAAGCATACTTTATAAAACAATTGGATATATATATATATATATATATATATATATATATATATATATATATATATATATATACTACTACTTA